AGCAAAATGAGTGCGCTTGACGGTCTATACTTTTTCATTGACTAAATTGGACGGGATTACAGGGATAATTTCAAGGAAAGTTTCCAACGATAACAGGATTTTTAGATTTCTTCTACTCACTAAGAGTGATATATTTTAAGGAAGCACACGCAACCGTAGATTTCTTAAGCAAAAGCAATTCAAAGAATTTAGCTAGACATAACTGTTCAATTCATTTTGGAGAGAATGATCGACATGATGATGCTGATTGTAGTGACAAAAACAAAAATTACATACATTGGTTACGGTTCTATTGAAAATTCGCAGGTTTGATCTGGGTATTCATTATTGGAAGACTTACTTGCTACAGTTCATGAGAACAGAACATACTTATACGGTTCGAAACGACAACAGTGTCCGGCCTAATGTGAGAAAACTGCCGAACGACCTGTCATACTCATAACGCTAGGATCATTTTTTAGTTGTATTTTTAAGTGCAAAACATGAATCCATCAATATTCTGTCACTAAAGATGTTGGATTCTTGGGCTTGCCTATAAATTCATCTTCATTTTAATAACGGATGCAGGTCGTGAGCTTTGAATTATCCATTTCAAAAACTCCGTGGAGTGGGACTTCTCGAAACTTTTGGAAAGCCGGAATACCCTATTGACCGCACCGCACCCTTTCAATTGGCGTTTCCTCTCAGGAACAACCTAAGCAATCATCTTTTTTGGCAACCTTCATCTCCTCATGTTTAGTCATACCGTCGAATATGATTATTCCCCGCGGATGCTCGCAAATTTACTGTCACCAGTTCTCGTCACCACTGACGAATTCTCAAACCATAATAAGGTGCATGCATTCATGACCGTGCAGAAAATGCCCCTTCTTAGGAGAATAAAAGATCACCAGCCCGGTAATAAAAAGCACGAGAGTATGAAAGCGTAAAAAACCCCGTCGACCGAACGAGATACTGAAATTGTAAACCTCACGTGCATCCATTACAGAGAAGACAGCTACAAAAATTTTGCAGCCGCTGCTTGCGATTCCTCCAAGCTACCGTGCTAAGTAAATGCGAAAAAATCCGAGGGTTGCCGAATTTTCTTGGACGAAATATTTATTTTAAAGGATATTCACGGATATTTTCCTGCAGGATTCCAAGTATTTTAGAAGCAATGAATACACAAAAAAGCAGTCGTCTCGGTAAACTTTCTGTAAATGAAATTTTATTAAAATCACGTTGACCACATCAGATTCATCTGAAATCCGCTCCTAGTGAACAGTAATACCGCTATCTTCTGCTTGACATCTTGAGAACACAACAAATGAACAACTTGTACGGTTAGAAATTGGCAGAAGAGGGCACCATTTTACCCACAATGGAAAAAAAACACATTGGATCTAGAGTTCAGACTCTTGAAAACATTGACAAGAAAAAGTACTCTTGATTCAATCAGATTTTTGCTTAAATCAAAAGGAAATCCTCTCAAATTAAGAGGCTTAATTGGTTCTACATTTAAGCAAAAATCCGATTGAATCAAGAGTACTGTTTCTTGCCGATGTTTTTAAGAGTCTGGACTCTAGAACCAATGTGTTTTTTTTTTCCTGAGAAGTTGCACAATCTCGGCGACATTAGAATGCTTGTAGTCCTTTTTGCGAAATGAAATTCAAATTTCCTGTGACCACCGCAACTGACTTATTTTGGAGGAGTCCTTTGAACTGCACCTAGTGCGGATTTATCATGAAGATCGGCATCGTCTGCGAGTCTATAGGACGTTTTTCCCGGTATAGTGGAAAATCACGCCTTGCGCGGATGTTAGACGCAACTGCCGAGGTTTCCCTGCAAAGTGGCCGCCGCGGCGGTGAATAAAATTTTACGACAAAAATGCATAAAAGTGGAGATGAGTCGCGCGCGCTCGGAGCGTTTATTGCGCGCTCACACGGCCGTTTGTTTCATTTAAACAATCTACATCGGAACGTTAAAAATAAAACGGAGCAATGAAACTGCGATAACTTTTGGCGGAGCTCGTAAAGGATGATAGAGAGCTCCCGATGTCGCCAAATAGCCTCCGTCCGGCCATCAGTCGACAAATCAATTTCCTTTTTTCGAGGGTGGTTCGATCAGCTGGGAGGATCACAGTGGAGCATATGCTTTCGTAGAAAATTAAACTCGTTCTTGGCTGCATTACATGACTTTTAACAAACCGGTCTCGTGTTTGTCTTGTGCTCGATTAATATATCCTGGACAATTGAGAGGCTTTGGAGGACAAAGCCGACGCATAATTGAGTGCAAATAATGATGATGCAAATTATATGCAATATATATGAATGCAATAAATGAGATTGAGATTTAAATGATCGTATATTGTTTTAAACCACGGAGAAAATAAGGATTCTAGTAAAATATATTTATTTTAATTATTGTGTTACTCTGAATAAAAAATTAATAATAGATTTGAGGGGCTTGGAGGAGAAGGCGCATAAGGTGCAGTTTATGCTATTTTGAGAAATACGTGTTTGAAGTTTCGAAATTACACGGATCCTTATGGTAGAAAGAAATTTGAAACTGACTTTTCAATGCTGAAGCATGGGAATTTGTGAGCGAATTTTTCACCGTATATGCATTAAGACTAGTTTGACTTGAAATCGTTAAAAGCTCATTTTGTCAAGAACTGCACGTTTGCGCTTTGACTTCCTAACCTCTCAATTTTTCCAGTTGAGAAAACATGCTCAATGTGAAACGTCCAATGTAATTACGCTCCTGTTAACATATTACTTTAAGTGCTTTGACCCTCTTAATTTCAAATGTTATCGCAATTCGTTTTACCCTTCTGCTGAGCTGATTTTCATGATTTTTATGGCTATCGATAGAAAACAGCTTTTAAATGAGCCAAATTTATCCAGATTCTAAAAATAAGACCCAGCTTCGTTATACTATGGGTGAAGTTGTGGATTCTCCCATTTCAGCGATATAAATGTTTATAATTGGTCACAACTCGATTTAAAGATCAATCCAGGGCCGATCTCATTACTTTTGCGGCTATTGATAGGAAATGGGCCCTGGATGAGCCCGCCTTTTTTAGCTTGATTCAAAGAGGTCTCGAAAGCTTCTTCCGGAGGTTGGACTGCGCGACGGCTACAGAGGCGGATCCAGAAATTTGGCAACACCGGGATGCCTCCATTAAATTCCATGCTAAATAATCGATTCTTGTCAAAGCACCTGGCCCCTCTAAGAATCGATACATTTTCATAGGTTTCAATGGAAAAATGACAATGTTGCCAATTTTCTGGATCCGCTAATGGACGGCCAGGAGGCATAACCCCCTAATATCCGGTAAAAAAATACGCACACCTTGAATATGACCCACGCTACACATATGCAAGTGTGATAATAGGCCCCTCAACGGCAAATTTCAAGAATATTTCTAACCGCGAAATAGTGTCCGCAGTAAAAAGTATCAACGGTTTATTCATTTTGTAAATAAATCTGACAACACCCATAATTGTTCAATTCCAAATTGAACTTATTGGATTTGTCATTTCATTTTTACGGTCGGGACTTTGCCCCTGAAGGACTTTTTATCGCGCCATAGATGTTTATAACGTGGATCGTCTTGCTCCTGGCGGACATTTTGTTTTCTGCACATGTTAACATGGACATTAGGACAATGAACATTTTACGTTGGACATTTTTACAAGAACGTTTTCACCTGTCATAGTTTATATGCGTTTTACACTAATATGTTTCAATTTTTGTAATGACTTCAGCATAATATTGTTCTTCTTCGAAACGCGTTTAGTAAAAATTCAAAGTAAAACGACTCAGGCTAAGCCTTATTTTTCCTTCAGTGTTGTTACCTACTAAGCTCTCTCTTGGAAGGGCAGCAGTGTTCTGCTGAGCTTGCAGAAAACACCTCACAAGAACTTGAGTGCGGCCAAGTTACCTTAATAATATACAAGTTTTTTTTTATTATTATTATTATTATTTTTTTTTACCAAATTACTGATTTTTTTCTATGTTGAATCACGAATGAAATTTTCTAAATAAATTAGAGGGGAAATGCGTAACCTCCGAAAATTTGGATTTTATCAGAGTACATCTGGTGACATTAAAATGCTCGATTTCATTTTTAATCTACTTTTATCTCTTTAAGTGATCTGTCATACTAAAAAAAAATACCGTATGAATATTCGAGTCTTGCCTAAGCAAAGAGGGGGAGAAGCTCTCCGGGAGCAGAGTCAAATCTTCGCATAGTTTGGCAACAATGAACTCAAATTATAATATATTTACTAAAGAAAAACAGTGTTGCCAATTTACAAGATAATGCACTGTTCGCGAACCGTCATTTATACCATGAAACCGCTTTGAGAAAACGAAATCTGGTTTGAGCGACAACAATGTGAGTATGGTAGTCACAAACGGGCTCTTCGGCATACGTATTCATTGGAATTTCAGTAGTTTTCTTCGCGCGAATTGTGTTTTACGTGAAATTCTGACGAAGAGTTATGTATCAGATTGCTAAAATTCGTAAACGTTCTTTCGAAGTTCATTCAATCGAAAAAAGCGAACATGGATAACTTGCCTGACTTTTCTCGGAAGAAATATTCCACTGGGAGAAATGAGGCAACGTTGAAATGCTCATACGACGTCGAAACACAACATGGGCCTAGTGAGTCCTATTGTTCGAAGCCGCGCTGATTTTAACGCGAGTTTAAATAGTCGCGCGAGACACACTGCATCCGGAGCGGCGTTAACGCACATTAGCGCCTGGAGGACTGTATGAATACTTCACGCATTGCGCCAATCGGTGCGGTCAGAGTGACCCGCATCTTCGCGCCTGCAAGACTGCTTGAATACATCTCGCATTGCGACAAACGGAGTGTAGTCGGTCAGTTAAATTGTCATAGATTTCACCATGAGTTTAGTACAAGGATCCACTATTTTAAGGTTAATGGAGGTGATTATATACTAATTAATACTGAAATTATCTGACAAACAGTGAATGTTTTATGTTTCAGAAACAAATTCGGATTCTATCGAACCAACCCTCATAAAAACATATCGGACCTGTTAGACAACCTACTGGCTGGATACGACAACAATATCAGGCCTGGTTTCGGTGGTTAGTCGAAATGTAACATTTTTCTTATTCCTTTTTCTTATTTGTCAAAATTTTATAATATTGAAAGTTTTGTAGTAATATTATTACATGCGACGTACTTTTTTTTCTGGACTGTCGCAAACTACGTATATTTCAATGTCTAATTATCTCCCTCACATTAATTAGCAAAATTCTGATTTCTTATCCTAAAAAACATCCCATAAAGCACACACTTATATGATTACATAAATATAAGTAAATTTGTATGTATCTTTGGTTGAATTAAACACATTTCTCAAAAGAAAAAAAGGATACTAAACGCACATGCGTACTTTAAATTATGGAAAGCATATAATTATTTTAAAAAATCAACCAACAACAACAATTTCAATAACAATTGGATCTCAGCCCAGAGCATTCACATTGAACCGATTATGGTTTTAAAGAACCCAAAGCCACTTAATTTTCAATCAATATTCCGTTAGGAATCGTTCCTTACCAAGAAGCGTTAAACACATTGAATCTTCATTGAACACTTTTTTAAGCAACATATTATAATTTTAAACTCCTTTTTGCACAATGAACCTTTTGGCTGGATATCTAGTAGAGTTACCCTAAAGTAAGATTGGTTTGCAGATGAGCGGTTTTTTTTTTTTTTTTTTTTTTTTTTTTTTTTTTTCTTTCTTGAGTGTGTGTCGCACGAGATGGTCTTAAAATTTCCAGAGAAACACCCACATCCGTATGGTGTTAGATTTTTTCACGGTCTCCAAAACTCAATGTTTAAAAGGCAGACTTTTTTGGAAGACTGTGGCTCTAGGAGACCTGAGTTTAAAAATTTACAGGTCTTTCCTATAAAACTTGTACTACTTGTTGTGCAATTGGACCACATTTTTCAGTAAGGAACCACTGTTTCAGGCTCATTTTAGAAACAACATATGAATCATCGGTTTCCCTATGCAGAAAGGTGTTTTCATGGAAGAGCCAGAGATTGTGGTTCCTTATTGCAAAATGTAATCCGATTTGTGATGCCTCAATATCTCTCTTGTTTGATGGTTCATCCGCAGTTTTTTTAATTTTTGACCGATATTAAGACCAACAAAAATCCGATCTGCAATTTTTCGTTCTTCTTCTTTCTACAGGACCACCGGCAGAAATCGAAGTCAACTTCAACGTTCGAAGCATGGGACCAATTTCAGAAATCGACATGGTAAGGAGCTTAACACCCTTTAAGTTAATTATTCCTTATTTCTATACGTCTGGAATAGGGGTAATAAGGATTCACCACTTGGTGTCCCACAATTTATCCCTTCCAAAATGGAAACATTTTCAAAGTAGATGATAAAATGGAGGCTATTGCCATTCAATTTCCTTCACCAATTTATCCCTTCTCGAAAGTCACAGAGAATAGGAAGAAAACAGATGCAATATTGTGAGAAGGAAAAGCCAGCTCTTTATGAAATCAGTGCTTCAAATTAAAATATTCTGCTATTTTAAAGAGTTGCAGCAAGACAATGGGTTAGATGGATTTTTCATTTATTAGCAGATGCTAAACAGCTTTATTCCACTCTAATTGGACCGAATGACGAATAGAGTTGCCAAATTTTCTCTCCTCGTTTTATTTTTTAAAAGAAAACTAGACAATATTGAAACTTGAAATTTTGTGAGTAAATTCTACATACATAATCAGGGGTAAATTTACAGAAAGTAAAATATTGTTATTGTTAAAATATAGTTTATTTCCCCTTTAAAAAAAAGGACACACTGAGCAGGAAATCAGGCAACGAGAAGTAGAGCTAGGTTGATTCCGGTTGTAGATCCAACCAACTGAGCTGGTCTTTTCTGGCAACCCATACAAGGTGAAAAATTTGCGAACGGAACAACAATGGCAAGAGGACCAGTTATTTTATCACATCACATCTTTCTTAGTCCTACTGAAGTAATTCGCTGTGAATTGAAAGTTGAAGTCACATCTCAGTATTTCCTCAAAAGGGTATCGTTTAATTGCACACAAAAACCCTACACAGCTTTAAGTAATGCGATTAACGATGCTCACCTGAAAAAGAAGTAACGCTCATTTAGTGCGGTGAAGCGAAAATTGTCGGATATCGATATTTTTCCATTTGAAGCTATGGGTAGGAATCGATTAATAAGGATACCTTGATGATCGATCTCTTTCCACAGGTTTAAATAGCAGATCGATCAATCGAGTCATCGCAAAACAAGGCAATGAATTCTCTAGTGCCGTGGACTAATTTTTGCTCTGTCGCGTCCACTAAAGTAGCAAGACAAATTAGCCCCTCTTTATTCGTCCCGCCCGGCAAAAGGGCGTATAATCCGGCTTACTTCAATAGACACTTACGCTGTTTCTGCTAGCGAAGCAAAGCATTTACGCTCGAGGGATACTTCGGCTTCCCGCAAGACCACTGTGCGTCTCTCGCTTACGGTTGCACTACGAACTTGCGAGCCTTGTTACATTTGCGGAGAGAGAATTAGGAGCTCCGTAGTGGCGAGACATGCTTTGCGATATATCGATTGATCTGCCATTTAAACCTATGCAAAAGTATCGATAAACAGGGTGTTCGCAACGAACACCTTAATAATCGATTCTTTACCATAGCTTCAAATGGGAAAATATCGACACTCGATCATTCGAGCCTCGCAACTGGTGCTCCTTGAGATTTGCTTCGCCCGAGTGGTAATTATAGAGGTCTCTTGTCTAGAAGTGTAGTCTATCGTGGTCAAGAAGAACAACGTTACCCCATTTTTGTAGATAAAAATTGGACTACTTTTTGCAATTTGGAACTATAAATTCTAGCCCGGTTTAAAAACAACGTATGTGCTATTAGTTTCCTTATGCTCATAAGTGTTTTTCCAGAGGAGTCAGAATTTATAGCTCCAAATTGCAAAATGAAGTCCGAATACGAATTTTCAGGTAGACTTGCGAACGGACGCATCTAACCAAAAACCATTTTTTGCATTTCAATGGCCTGAGTGCAAAAGCACGTATCTTCATTGTACTATTTTAATAATCTCTGCTCCTATTGTATTTCTTTTTGAAGAAAAACACGCCATTAATTCAACTTGAAATTTACGCAGTACTTTCTTCCAATAGAGAGGAAGATTCGAGGAAGTTTTCAAAAGATTAAAACGCGGGGTCTCCCGAAGAAAAATTGAAGTCTGTCAGGAGGTTTGCAAAGTCGCAAACGAAGATGTGTGGTGTCGCATTCAGTGGCGTGGCGTGCTTTGCGACACATCAATTGTTATGCCATTTAAAGTCATGGTAAAGACAGTGGCGTGGCGTGCTTTGCGGTACATCGATTGATCTGTCATTTATACCTATGGAAAAGGATCGATTAACAGGGTGTTCGCAGCGAACACCTTCATAATCGATTCTTTACCATAGGTTTAAATTACATAACAATCGATATATTGCAATTCACGCCACGCCACTGCACTAAAGAATCGATTATTAAGGTGTTCCCTGTTTACCGATCCTTTTCCATAGGTTTTAATGGCATTACAATCCATATGTCGCAAAGCACGCAACGCCACTAGTCGCACTGGCCATGGATTTCACATAATTTTCACCAATAATCACATAATATCCCACTTGCTTTTTTTTTGGGGGGGGGGCATTTGGTCGTTGCCAACGAGGGCAAACGTTCCGTTCATGTGGGTTTTTTTTTTCTTTTATTTTAAATTTAAATAATTGGCATGCAAACCCTCCCTCGTGGAGAAATTCTCACTTTAGTATTCGTAGACTCCGTTCTCAATGTTTCAGACCTATTCGATGGACTGCTACTTCCGACAGCAGTGGATCGATCCCCGTCTGACGTTCCACGGCAACAAGGAAACCCTCGCCTTGAGCATTTCCATGCTCGAAAAAATATGGAAACCCGACACGTATTTTTACAACGGCAAACAATCCTACTTGCACACCATTACCACGCCAAACAAGTTCGTCCGCCTTTTCCAAAATGGCACCGTCCTCTACTCGTCCAGGTAATTGTCCTCCGCATCTCCTTGTTTTTATGAAAGTTTAAGGTGAATCCAGAGTTCGATTAGGGATAATTCAAGATAAGAGATAGCGCCACCAGTTACCACTGAGAATTTCACTTTCCTTCAACAATTACTGAAATAGTATTGTTCAAATTACAAAAAGCAGATCCACATGATATAGATTATTTTTTGCTTGATTTTTTGAGCCAAAAATATTGGCAATTAGAATTACAAGCGCAAAGAAAGTACGGCTGAAACTTTCAGCTCAGCCGCGGCGGCCGAGCGCGCAACCGAATCCCTCATGTTCTGTCTCTCTCTCTCCCATTGCCGCAATGGGAATTACTTTCCGCCGTAGTTACGACTTTATTTTTGGGAATTCTGGGAAGATTTTTTTACTGAGTGTTCCTCAAGTATGTTGCTATATCCTCTGGATCCCCAATTTTGAATAAGTATTACGGTTTTTATTATTTTGGCAAATATATACGACTATTCTGAGCAGCGCGACGTGGTGGCCAAATCGCGAAGTTCCAAGCCTGGATTCACTTGTCGTCCAAACCTACCAATTACCATATGTCGACAGTGTGAGTCGGCAATCACATAGCTCGGTTTGCGACGTCGCAGACTTCCTTTCATACTTTATTTGGACGTATTTATGCTAAAAGGACCTATGTGCAAGTGGAAAAATGGAGTGTGCTCCTGCTCAAGGAAGCTGGATAAGAAACAATGTAAAAGTGGATATAGTTCCTTTTGAGAAAATGGAAAAGCGGGGGTTTCAATTAAATGAAAAGAAACGGAGCGCTAACTCGTGAGCCGTGGGCATGTGACAAGAGCCTTGTGGACAGGGCTCATGAGTTAAAGATCGCGTCATTGGTCGTTGTTTCTCCCGTCGTTGGTTCCTCTGACGTCACTGGCGCTTTATATTTCCCCATTCATTCTTATGGCCCAAACACTAACGAGCACACCCCATCTTTCCACTTACACATAGTTCCATTTAGCATAAATACGTCCATTATTTAAACGAAAAACTGTTCAGCGGCAATTCTTGAAAACTGCCGTGATTTTTCTTCTCCGTGCGTAGAAAATTCTGCAAAAACTTCAATTTGTTCTCGTATAAAACAATGGCCGTAGTGCGAAACCGCACGCATCTCCTTTGTGACGTTACAGACTTCTTGTTCCTCTACGAACGACTAGGGCATAGCCCTGTTTGTCAGGCCATCTAGTATCGAGCACATTAAATATAAATATTATAAAATCCAAAATTTGGTAAAAACAAAAGACTCTTAATAGTCAATCATCCTCAGGAGGAGAGAGCCAGCTTCATCTTTTAGGCGGGTTATAGGACATTTCGTCAACGATTTTTTGGCCGCGCACTTGTTTTTTCCAGTAATTTATGTCCACGCGTTTTTTCGGCACAGAGGTTTTGGTCCACGTGCCAGTTGAGACCCAAAGTTAATTGGTCCACATGTAAATACAAACGACGATTGCTCACGGCGTTTTTGGATGAAAATGTATAATGTCTTGGAAGAATGAGGGTTTGCTTGCTTTTTTTTTATTTTTTTTTTTTTATTTATTTTTTTTTATTTTTGTTGTTTGATCCAACGGAGAGTAATATATAATTGATATTTTTGGTGAAAATGAGGGAGCGTCAATTCCATTAGACAAAATTCACTGAAACTCTCTACACCTCTCTGGTGCAACAGGACTTAATCATCTTTCAAGAAATTCCCACCTTGATATACCTGAACCGGACGAACCTCTTGATTTGCCTCAGCTAAAGGCTCCTAGATTTTTCCTGTGTACAATATTAGTATCTTGATTTATTTTGCGAGGAAAGGTCTCTACTTTTAAAGGATGCCTGTCATTCTTAATACGTTCAATTTCGTATAATACTGTGCAACACCTCTGTTGTGAAATAGTTGCTTCAGGCGCCGCCGCACGGCGGGTGGGCGGGCGGTCAGCGCGTAACGCGCATTGGCGCCTGCAAACCTAAGTGGATACTTCACGCATTGCACAATGCTTGAAGTATCCACTTAGGTTTGTAGGCGCTAGTGAGCCTCTCACGTTCGCAGAACGCCGCTCCGCTCTGTTAGGCTCTAATATTTATACTCGCATAGTCAACGTTTTATAACTCATGATTTTGAAATGTTTGCACGCTCTGCATTGATTATTTTCATTTAAATTGATGGGAAAAAAATATATGTATCAATTTATCAAAGGAGAGTAATAATATAATGTGTTTTTTTAAATATTGGTGGTTCCGTGTCTTTAATGATATCCAAAGCACTTTAATTTTTTCTTTTACATTTTATGCTTTTATTGTGCTGCAGCGAGGTGTACGCACCACCAAACGCTCAAAATTTGACGTATTTGACTCTAAAAGATCGATGTACAAATGGATTAAAAGTAAAGATTGCGTGCTTCCTGGTTTTTTTTCCTCTTTTATTCATTTTTGCAGTTTCTGTCGGCACAACTGCGGCTCATTGAGATTAATATCGATGCCATCGCTTGGAAAAGGTTTTACAAATGTTTGTCACGTTTTAAAAATATGAATGTTTACAAAATGAAGTAATAATTTCGTAAAAAAAAATTTAAAAAATAAAATAAAGTACCTATACACATGTAAGGTATATTGAACATCGAATATTTTAAAGATAGAAATAAACCAATATATTCACCGATGACAATTTAAAAAGATGAATCAAAAGATGAACCACAACAACACCTCCTTATCTCTCAATTTCATATTGTCACTACAATTTTACATACCGACTAAAATATAACGCTTGGACCAAGTCACTGTTGCCTATTTTACGTGTGGGCGTAAACTACTAGACAAAAAAGGTGCGCGGACAAAAAATCGTTTACAAAATGTCCTGAAACCTTTAGGCGCCCATCCAGGTTTTCTTTTCCCTGAGGGTTGTTCGACAGACTAATTGTCATACATTATTTTTGATTTGGAAACCTTTTGATTGATTGAGGGAATAATATCACCATCCCTTTTAGAAGGAACGTAACTAAATTTTAACGTTATAAAACTTCTAAGCAATAATAATATTGTCAGGGTGGTGAAATTCGTTTGAAGCTTTCGCGCAATCGAAATTGCCTGTATTTAATGATATTTTTTTTATTTTATTTATGATGTATTGAAGATAAATCCGTAGTTAACTAATACAATGAATTGCAAGGTCCCTAAAATATATCGTATCTGGTCGACCAACGCAAGAATTATCTTGGCAGTACATTAAAGTATTACAATTATGCTTGGGTGATTATTTACATGATTATGGAATAAGCCGAGATCAGCGCCTAACAGTATTACAGGACGACATCAATGGCTTATAGCCTGATGGTAATGAACTGTTTATACTAAAAGGAAATATGTACAAATTAACTAAACCAAAAGGAACGCAAATAGCACGTAAATCCTATGCACACATGTCTCTTTGATTCGATTCATTTCTACACAGCACCTTTTAGCGTAAATACGTCCTATCGATTGTCGATTGTCTTATTAACCGGAAAAACGAGGCCTTTTCAAGCCGAGCCCATGGGAAATCTATAGAGCTCCACACAAGGCAGTGCAACCGTACTCAGAAAAAAAGAGCAAGCGTGTCGTAACTTTAGATAAATCGATGTCTCCCATTTAAACCTATGGAAAATAATCGATTATAATTTTGTTCGCAAACAATCGATTCTCCACCATAGCTTCAAATGGCGAAATATCGATGGCGGATGATTCAAGCTTTACCACCGAGGAAAAACACGTAACTACGTAGGTTTTTTATTGGATATAGGTGGTTGTTGATCGGTAGGGCTGAATGAGAGCCTCGTCTCGTCGCGTTGCGGTCCTGGCGACCGGAAATACCTTGCGGATGGAAAATATGGAGTCACTGGGGTAGTGGATATTGCGATTGTTTACCCACCTCAATTTTCCCTTTCACAATCTCGCGATAATGCGGACGGAGAAAATGGGCATGCGGGGATGCATTTTAGTGAGTGCATGTCGTCGCCCCTTCGACGTAAGGGCGTACCTCAATTTCCGCAAGCCCCAGAAAGTACGGATTTATATGTAAAACTGGGCTCACGTTTAAATTGAGATACGCCGTTTGGTCATAGGGCCGACGATGTGTGCCCCCTCCCCCTTCCCGAGGGAAAAACAGCGTTTCCGTGATAAAGAAATATTGGAAGGATGTGTTGTTTTTACTTTTATCGAGTGCGACAGAAGCAGAGAGGCGTGCGGTGCGACGCATGGTTTGCGCTGAAAGGATCCGCCGATCTGCCTGTTTGGTTTAAGTATGGGATGTGACTCTGAGGAAGGGAGGAGAGGTTTTTAATATGAGTGTGTTTAGGTCCATTAATATTGGTCGGGATTCTACTTCGCATGAATTGGATGCAAAGCAAGGGCACCTAATATTGCGGTCTTCATTTTGAGGAAGTATTTCAAGTCACTTATTCTGCCTTGCTAAGGAAGAACGCCGTATGACTGTATGAGCCATGAGACGTTGACCGACTCCCTCCGACAGACGAATCGCGAATGAAGACATCACGAATTTTTAGGGATTTTTTTTAATATTCCTCCTACAATATCTCAGAGGATTTCGTTCGTACACTGGAAAAAAAACACATTGGATCTGGAGTCCAGACTCTTAAAAACATCGACAAGAAAAAATACTCTTGATTTAATCAGATTTTTGCTTAAATCAAGAAGAAATCCGCTCAAATTAAGAGTCTTGGTTCTTGATTTAAGCAAGAATCCGATTGAATCAAGAGTACTTTTTCTTGTCGATGTTGTTAAGAGTCTGGACTCTAGATCCAATGTGTTTTTTATCCAGTGCAACTTTAATCAAAAAGTCTGAAAATGTCAAGGAATGATATTCATAACTTTTTTTTATCAAATAATAATTTTTTGAGAACAAATTTGGCAACATGCTCATTTGGCGTTTTTACTTAGCACGGCAGTAGTTGAGTCTGCGAGTAGTGAGTTGTAAAAATTGGTAATATTT